GGCATAATGGGGGATACGCACCCCCCCGCCCTCAGGCTATGTGTAATGGAACACTCTATCCAGAAACATACTGATCTATGGAAGGTGGCTGCAGCCTTAAGCCCTGGTCACTATTGGGATGGATACTTGCGTGGCTCTAAGCAGCCCAATTTTACTTATTATATCAGTTATAACTCCTCTCTCCACATGAAGGCATGTGTCAAACATCCTTTTGTGTTTGGTCGAGGCACTCTTTCTTTTGACCCTGTCAAAAAAAAGGTTTCTTGTCTTGGGCATTATTTACCTGTCTCAATTCTTCCCTCTCAGTCCAAGGTTCTTTACACAGTACAATTTTATTAAAGGCCAGATCACATATATGGCTACCAGTGAATCTGAATAGAGAAAGGCAACAAATTCCCTGGTGAAGGACTCCTGACTCAAGTGTGAAACAACTGCTCTGGCGTTCCCGACGATTCCTTGGACTCCTGATTGTAGCTATCCTGGGAATCATTGCTGTAAACACTACTGGTGCTGTTACAGGAAGAGCTCTTCAAACCTCAATCCAGATGCACAATTTCGTCAAAACATGGCAAAATGACTCTCACCACTTCTGGACAATGCAGGCTACCATCAACCATGATATTGAGCAACGACTGGACACTTTACAACAAACGGTACTCTGGTTTGAGGGGCGGGTTGTTATCTTGGAAGAACAAATAAGGCTATTTTTTGACTGAACTAGTTCTTCTTTCTGTGTGACCCCCCCCCATAGATATAATGGGTCCGCTCATACTTGGGACAAAATTAGATATCATTTTTAAGATCTGAAGGAAAATATGTCTCTAGGTACTCTTGCCCTTCAGAATGAGACTGTTCGAGTGCTTAAGGATAAACTTCCAGAAATTCAGTATGAAAACTTAGCCCAGGGTATTGTGGACTCATTACAGGGCCTTGACCCGAGGTCATGGTGGCAAAGCATTACCCACACTCTTGGTAGTGCTGGTACAGTCTTACTTATCATGTTTATTCTATTAGTTATAGGATCCTACCTCTTTCGGAAAAGACTAGCCAATACTGAGTCCATGACCTATCGGAACTATTATGATCTTTTGTAAAGGGAAAAGGGGGAGATGTTGATATGTAGCTCTAAACATTTTAGGATAGCATTGGTATGTCCTTTCTCCCTTGCCACAGGGAGCTTAGGTTTATCAGGTTATATCCATCACAGGGCTCTAGAGACACTCCCATTCCTTTGTTTATCTGTAACCTCTTCTCAGTGCTCTCCTCCCCAACCAAATAATCACCTTTTTCCCCTAATCAGATTCTGTTAACTTGTAAGGTCAGATCCTTCTAAGGACACTGAACTTGTATTGTAAGTTAAATATTGCTTTTCTCCTTCTCTTATATCTTTTATGCAGAGTTTACTTTAAGGCAATGTCCTTTTTGTATGGACACTGTCTTCCTTTTGTATGGAAGACAGTTGATATTATGCTTTTATAACTTGGGAGTTAATTGACTCCTAATAACATTCGCTCCTGGGCATCTGCTTTCTCAACTTACGCCTCAGTTGCCCTTCGTTCCTAGCACCCCAAAAGCAGGGTCCCAATGAGGGACTGAATGCAACCAGGGCAAGCTGTGAGCTATCCTGGCATCAAAAGGCCAAAGTGCCACAATACTTAACTGCAAGCTAAGAGCATGGTCATGGACAAATGCTGTCATGATCTAAAAGGTTAACAATGAGATTAGGACCCTGCTAGGGTTAGTAAAGACTAATCTGACCTGAGCACTATAGTCTGAGAGCAATAGCAAGGTGACCCCAGAAGAGCAATCTTATAAGCTTAATGCATCTCTTACTGTGTCCATACAAAATGACTAATATTAGGAATGTTTATGTTTGTTAGACAAGGAGAGGAGAAACACACCCATGGGATTCTGCTCTTGGGTGGGTCGTCTTGCTGGATGACAGTCTGTCCTAGAAGAGGCTTCCCCTGAGGGAAGGACTTTACCTCTGTTTATTGTATGACCACACCTAAGTGTAAGCCCCAACCCTCCTGCCTTGGGATTTAAGGAGGGAGTAAGAGTGGGCTCGGAGAGAGAGAAGCATGAGAATCAGGGGAGAATGTAGAGGAAATTGGAATAAACTGCAACTGACACCAAGCAGTCTGGCCCTGATTCCCTCCTTCGTCCACACATTGCCATCAGCCTCCCGGGGTAGAGGACACAGCACGAGACCATTGAGTGCAGATGGTGAGAGAACCAGCGAGGCCCTTTGTACTTTATTTTTTGAATACACCACTTAAGAGCTAAGTTCCAAACCCTTACTGTTGTTTTTTATACTTTGAATGTCATGTTGGACTTTTTAGTCATACATTACATTAGCATCAACATTCAAAAGTGACTTATTTTAGTGCTATCTTTGTTAGACTTCATCAGCATCAGCATCAGCATGTCTTCATAAAGGGAACTGAAGGGCTGGGAGACATTAGACGTTAGGGCTCAGTCCCGATAATACATAGTTTCCTACACTCACCAGGTTATGTATGGTCCTGGAGGGTGGCCTAAGTGAGAGTGGTCCCCTCATTGCATCCTAGGGTCCTAGCAAAGAACCACTAATTTGGTTAGTGGGATATTGCCAGGAGTGACCTCCTTACCACAAACCAACTAGTCAACTATGAAGATAAGGAGCTCCTCCCAATCCCACACAAAACACGAAGAGAACTGAAAAGTTCTTTCTGGGTTTGAAATATCTCTTTAAGGTATTTTTAGCTTGTAGGATAACACTGTTTTGTCCTTCCTCAGGTAGCTTAGGTTTATCAGGTCACACGCATCTAAGGACACTGAACTTGTATTGTAAGCAATGTCCTTTCTGTGTAGACACAGGGAGACAGTTAATATTATGCTTTGTAACTTGGGAGTTGATTGACTCCGAATAATATTTACTCCTGGGTATCTGCTTTCTCGACTCAGTTGCCCTTAGTTCCTAGCACCCCAAAAGCAGGGTTCTGATGAAGGACTGAATGGACCCAGGGCAAGCTGTGAGCTACCCTGGCATCGAAATGGGCCAGGCCAAAGCGCCACAATACTCAACTATAAGTTGAGGGCATGATCATGGACAAATGTTGTCATGATCCAAAGTAAGTAACAACGAGACTAGGATCCTGTTAGGGCTAGAAAGACTAACCGGGCTTGAGGACTGCGGAATGTATAATGAGATGTTTATATCTCTTACTGTGCTCACACAGAATGACATTGCTAAAAATATTAGAAGTAGATTTACTACAACTACTTAAGTAGATTACTAGCTGAGGAAAGAACACACCCTTGTTAGGATCCCACCCTTGAGCATTAGCTCTCTTATAATGGTCTCGATTTATTTTGATCTTCAAATTTATTACCTTGGAAATAACCTTAAGCTATACTGCATTTATTTACAATTCTCATTACTAATATTGTATTTATGTCAATCTTTCCTCCTTGATCCCACATTGCCTTTCAATGAATCAGTTCTTATCATCTGATTTTTTCCCTTTTAATAGATACCTATGCAATCTTTATTGTCATAAGTTTCCTTTTTAATATTTTAAAATAAGGCACCTAATTTTTATCTTTCTCAGTTATTCAAAATGGTAATTTTCTTAAACTTTGTTGTAGTCATATCCCATAGGTCATAATGTCACTTCATTGGCATTTTAGTTTACTTTTTATAACAATAAAGTATCTAGAACTCGGATTTGGGGGTTGTATTTTGATGTTGTTTTGGTCACTGTTCAATTCGCTAGCATGTACTTATTTACAGTATTATGATCAAAAGAATTGTTGTATTAAACTTCATGGAAAGTACTGTGATTCACTGTTCCAAAATCATTAATTTCATCTCCCCTACCATTTTAAGCGTTTAGGAAGATAAATCCCACAAATATTAAGAACTTTCCCTCCCTACAGTTTATAACAAGATGAAACAGAGAGCCTGAAGAGGTTTCCAAGTCCAGTGCTTATTTTCCCTCCTCTAAGGAGCTTATACACAAAAATTAGGAATCCTAGCCGACTCAAAATCTGAAATTAGTTACCTTACCAATGCACTCAGCATCAAAAGCTATGTATGCGAATGAATACACTCTTATTTTTCAGCCAGACTCATCATCCTTGAGTGGAAACCCTACCTCAAAATGCAATCCCATCTCCCAGCTTCCTAAATGCTTAAATCCGTGCATTTCGGGAGTAAAGTTTTATTACTGTAGCTCTTCACGGTCACTGATAGAAAAGCGAAGCTTTTATTCAAGGGGGGGTTTTAAAAAAAAAAAAAGGCCGAAGAAACCGGCAAAATTACTAGGATTCAGTTCTACAACAACATAAAAGGCACAAGCTTAGTACCTGTATTTGCAAACCATAACACCCAAAAGGAGAGGGGTGGGGGGAGAGGGAATGTGTCTGCCACAGAGGGGTGGGGTGGGGGAATGACAGGGGGTGGTGGGAGGGATACTGGGAACACTGGTGGAGAATGGGCACGGGTGGAGGGATGGGTCCTTGAACACTGTATGACTGAGACGCAATCATGAAAGCTTGTAAGTAAACAGTTGGCTAGCGTCCCTCCCCAGCTCCGGGTAAGCCTTTCCTCACCAGATCCCAGCCCGTCGTCACCCAGCCCCCACCCCGCTCCCACCCCGGGACCCAACTAATCTGAACCCTAGGCATAGGATTCCAGGTGATGAAATTGTCGAACGTCCCTTGCTCCGAGACCCAAGCCCCGTGCCCACGCCCGCGCCCCTCTCCGATCTTTGCCAAGCACCCACACCCAGCCCAGAGCTGAAGCGAGCGAGGGTGGTCGCCGCAGAAAAGCTCATCCCGCTTCCGGCCGCCACCGACAGACCCCCAAAGCGGCGCTCCGAGTAGGGGCCAAAATCCGAGGGGGGGGGGGGTGTAGGGGGGCGGAGTGGGGGAGGGAAGAGTCACCGCCCCGCCCCCCGCCGCCCCAAACCCACCCAAGAGCCAGCACCAAGACCGAAAGACGACAGGTCACTTACTAGTGGGAGCTCTGCCAAAAGTTTCCTGCCATGGAACACAGCTTGCCCTGACAGAAAAGCACCAGCCGGTGGACCGGCCCGCGGAGCGACCATAGACCCAGTCCGCCTGGTCCCCGCGCTCCGCGATCTGATGGCCCCGGCTCCACTGCGCGGCGGCGAGAGTGAGAGGAAGAGGATGGCGCCGTGTTCTCCCGGACGCCGACCGGCAACGCGCGGCTGTGTAAAACGCGTTCCTGGGGAATAAAGTTCCGGCCCCGCGCGCGACGGCGGAGGAAGCCGGAGAGGAGTCGGGGGTGGGGGTGGAACAGCGGTGGATGCACAGAGAGCCGAGAACGGGAAACGGGGCTCAGGCGAGCTCTCGCGAGAGCTGCGTGCCGGCTCCGGTCTGGACCCCGCGTAGGGCAGCGTCCTCGTTAGCAGAGTAGGCGTCTAAAGCGTGGTTTGTGCAGCCGGCTAGGAGGACGTTCTTTTTCTTTCTTTTTCTTTCTTTTCTTTTTTTATTTTTTTACGGGCTTCCCAGGCAGCATCATGGCATTATATTAGGTTTTCTTTTCTCTCTCTCTCTCTCTCTCTCTCTCTCTCTCTTTCTCTCTCTCTCTCTCTCTCTCTTTGCTTTTTGGGGTCACACCCAGGGATGCTCAGGGGTTACTCCTAGTTCTGCGCTCAGGAATTACTCCTGTCAGTGCTTGGGGGACCCTATGGGATGCCGGGGATTGAACCCTTGTCTGCCGCATGCAAGGCGAGGCGAACGTCCTAACCGTTGTACTGTCGCTCCAACCCCACTATGTTAAGTTTTCTGACTGAAATTATTTCTTCTGCTGCTGGAAAGAGAAAGATTATTTTGACCTCAAGGTCCTATCAAGATCTACCAGCACAAAGCCGAATGCTTCTGATGGAGTTCTTTTGGAATTCGATGCAAACATATAGAGCGGTAGTGTTCAGTGCCAGAAAGCTTCCACTCTTGAAGAATGCAAAAACCGAACCATTTCCCCCTTTATTACTTATGTGTAGACACCTGTCCCGAATAAAACTACAGCTCAAAGTGCAGTGTCTGCATTTTACAAGATGCTGTGTTTGTTTCCTGTTTCTGCTACTAAGTGTGTCGTTGTATTCGTGTGAAATCATTATTTTTCTAAATAATTGAGCTTACCTGATACTGTTCTGAACTATACCAGTATGCTTAACTTGTCTTGAAATACTTCTCTAAAAAGAAGCAAGATATTACATATGACAGGAATAGCAGATTATTTCAAAATTGAATCAATTTTATTTTAATATTTTAAAATAAAACAACTAATTTTTATCCTCAGTTATTCAGAATAGCAGTTTAAGATTTTTTAAAGTTTTTTTTAATGTAGGAGTACTGCTATTTATTCAGCCACTGATTAGCTGATTGAATTGGGCATGAACTCCACCTAACTTTTTTTTCATTTTTTTATGATTTTATTTATTGAATCACCGTGAGAGCAGTTACAAAGCTTTCGGGTTTAAGTCTCGATTATACAATGAAACACCCGTACCTTCACCAATGCTCATTCTCCACCACCAAAAACCCCAGTATACCCCCATCCTACACCCTCCCCCTACCTGTGGGGCAGATGATTTCCACATTACTCTCTTTCTCTACTTTGATCACATTCAATATTTTGACACCAAACCCACCATTTTTATTTGGGATTTTACCCCATCACTCAGATCTGCTGAAAAGGCAATAGTAGACAATTTGTTTTCTATTGCTGGTTAAAAATAACATATGATGTCACTTGGCTGCAGTAGTGGCCGTGCAATTTTGAAATTCTGAAATTTTAACACTTAAATCTGGAGGGATTTCTGCTAAAACCTGCTGAGAGAGAGAGGTACAGACTAATACAGGAGGTAAGTTACTTGCATTGCGTATGGCAGACCCAGGTTTGGTCAGGGGTTACTCCTGAGCTCCAGCACGCACGCACACACACACACACACACACACACACACGCATGCACGCACACGCGTGTGCACAGACATACCAAAATGCCCCCTTCTCCACACACAAAAAGAGACTTTATTGAAAAAATCTATTTATGCAGGCCGCAACAACTGAGAAGATGGTGGTTTAGTCTCAAATAAACATCCTTCTATGTGGTCACAAGAAGCAGTTTTTATAGAAAAGAGATAAGAGAAGCATATTTTTAGGAAGGGTGGGTTGAAGACTGGTGGGACTCAGAACAATGTCAGCTGGAACAGACAAGCTATTCTTAATTTTGGGAAAAATAATTATTTAAAATAACAGCATTTGTCTTTACAGGACATATAATAACTCGTAATGTTCTGGCTGAACAAGAAAATGCCAATTTTGATATCAGGAGACCAGATGTCTGAGGCAAAAAATGTAAGGTCTAAGTATTTGGGTTGGTTTGTTTAGGTGGATATTTGACTCTGTTCTTCATGGCTGCTCAGGTTGTCCTTTTATACGGTGGCAGAAGGAAATTGTATAGCTTTTTATAACAGGAAGATACTTTATTTCACTTCTTGGCCTGTCCTTTTTTTTTTTAATTAGTGAGACTCCATGAGGTACAGTTGTAGACTTACAAATTTTTGTGCTTGGGTTTCAATTATACAATGATCACTGGGATCCATTGTGGTGGGAAATGGGCACTCTTGGCCTGTCTTAAAGCCTTCCCTAATTCATCTACTCTGTCTAAAATTGCAAACTCTGTTCCACAAGGTCTGAAATAGAATACTAGCCTAGTGGTAGACACAAAGTTTAACATGTACACGAGGTACAAAAGATTTAATACTTACTTGTCTCTGTATCTACATTATCTGGATGATGTCAGACTGACAAAAATAACCACTCAGAGAGTTGAGGAAATTTCAACCTCTCTGAAGCAGTCTATTTATTTCCCCTTTCCTTCTCTTTGTTGTTGTGATGTCCTGGAGTCACACACTCTGTTGTATGCAAGGAAAATTACCAGTGTGCCAGGGATCACAACAGTTTTCTTTAAAAAAAAAAATTGGGGGGTATGGTGCCGCCAGCAGGTCAATCTGAACCAGTGACACAAGTGCATCAGCAGCCTCATGGCGCCTTCAGACTTCTAGAAACCCGAAAACTGCTGTGCCTTTGGCCAGAACCAAAACTTGGGGCAAAGTTTACCAAGAAAGTAAACAGCCAATAGTTAGGTATGTGGGAGACACACCCACAAACCACCTCAGGCTCAGCTATATAATTGAAGGCATGGCCTCTCTTGTTCCTGATTGAACTGTTTAATGGCCATGATCCCAGAGACTCAGAAACAAATCTCAAAAACCAACAGCTCTTGGCAGAAATGCATCTGGTCCCTGCAGTAGGCTACCAGTGCTGGGTCACCCCAGTTGGGAATAGGTTTTGTGCCTTGGTCTGTTCCCCCTGGCGACCCAGTGGCCGTCATCCTCCAGAGACCACTGGACACTCAGGTTTGGGCCCGCAGTGATGAGACACATAGGGCCTCACGGGATGGGGGTGGAGGCAGCCCTTTCCTCCCCCTCCCAAGGAGACCCACAAATGGCCTCTCTGTCTCCTGATCAAGCTGCTTAACAGCCATGATCCCAGGGACTCAGAAACAAATCTCAAAACCCAGTGGCTTTTGGTAGAAATGTGTCTGGACCGTGCAGTAGGTTGCTGTCACCGGGCCACCCCAGGGGGAAAAGGGTGCTGTCCCTCCTCCTGCTCCCCCTTGGCGGCCTGGTGGCCACCATCTTCCAGAGGCCATTGGACAGTCAGGTTTGGGCCCACAGTAATGAGACACGTGGGGCCTTAGGGGATGGGGGTGGAGCTGGCTCTTTCCTCCCTGTACCAGCGAGACCCTGAGTCGCCACCCACAAATGGCCTCTCTGGCTCCTGACCAAGCTACTTAATAGCCATGATCCCAGAGTCTCAGAAACAAATCTCAAAACCCAATGGCTTTTGGCAGAAATGCATATGGGCCACGCAGTAGGTTACTGTCCCCGGACCACCCCAGGGGAAAAAAGGGTGCTGTCCCTTTGCCTGGTCCCCATTGGCGGCCTGGTGGCCACCATCTTCCAGAGGTCATTGGACAGTGAGGTTTGGGCCCGCAGTGACAAGACATGCGGGACCTAACGGGATGGGGTGGAGCCGGCCCTTTCCTCCCCGTCCCAATGAGACCCTGAGTCGCTGCCCACAAATGGCCCCTCTGGCTCCTGATCAAGCTGCTTAATTGCCATGATCCCAGAGATTCAGGAACAGATCTCGGAACCTAGCAGGTTTTGGCAGGAAATCTCTCCAGATTTAATTGTTAAAATTTCGGAATTTCAAAATTACACAGCCACTACTGCAACTGTGCAACATCATATATTATTTATGACCAGCAATAGAAAACAAATTGTCTGCCTTTTTGGCATATCTGAGTGTTGGGGTAAAATCCCAAATAATAATGGTGGGTGTGGTGTCGAAATGTTGAATGTGATCAAAGTATAGAGAGAGTGATTTGGAAATCATCTGCCCCACAGGTAGGGAGAGGGTGTGGGATGCGGGTATACTGGGGTTTTTGGTGGTGGAGAATGGACACTGGTGAAAGTACTGGTATTTCATTGTATGACTGAGACTTAAACCCGAAAGTTTTGTAACTGCTCTCACGGTGATTCAATAAATAAAATTATAAAAAATTGGGAAAAAAAGTAAGGTGGAGTTCATGCAAAATTCAATCAGCCTAATCAGTGGCTGAATAAATAGCAGTACTCCTAAATAAAAAAATTATTAAAAATAATTTTAAAAGTGCTCGCTTCAGCAGCACATATACTAAAATTGGAATGATACAGAGAAGATTAGCATGGCCCCTGCGCAAGGATGACACGCAAATTCATGAAGCGTTCCATATTTTTAAATGATGAAAACTATACAGTTCAAATACGTCCAATCTAGGATATTAATCAAGGTATTTTAACATTATCACAGGTTATTGCCATTTCAATATGGCTACTTGCCTTTAATGATACATAAAATGTACTGATTTTAACATTTTTCATTGTGAATTAATTCATTATATATCTCAGATACCATTATTCTTTGAAAATCCATCAAGAACATAACCAGTGTAGGTATTTTAAGTGAATGAATATTTTGATTATCTTAAGCATCTGATTTCTTGAGACTGAATTTTGTTGGTGTTCAATTCTCCTTATGAGAGATATTT